ATCCCTTTTAATTTTGATGATTATAACTGACAACAAATGAAAACCCCAAAATCAGTATCTCAGAAAATTAGAATATTGTGAAAAGGTTCAATATTGAAGACACCTGGTGCCAAACTCTAATCAGCTAATTAACTCAAAACACCTGCAAAGGCCTTTAAATGGTCTCTCAGTCTAGTTCTGTAGGCTACACAATCATGGGGAAGACCCATTGACACCTTGCACAAGGAGGGCAAGACACAAAAGTTCATTGCTAAAGAGGCTGGCTGTTCACAGAGCTCTGTGTCCAAGAACATTAATAGAGAGGTGAAGGGAAGGAAAAGATGTGGTAGAAAAAAGTGGGCAAGCAATAGGGATAACCGCATCCTGGAGAGGATTGTGAAACAAAACCCATTCAAAAATGTGGGGCAGATTCACAAAGAGTGGACTGCAGCTGGAGTCAGTGAACCACCACGCACAGACGTATGCAAGACATGGGTTTCAGCTGTCGCATTCCTTGTGTCAAGCCACTCTTGAACAAGACACAGCGTCAGAAGCGTCTCACCTGGGCTAAAGACAAAAAGGACTGGACTGCTGCTGAGTGGCCCAAAATTATGTTCTCGGATGAATGTAAATTTTGCGTTTCCTTTGGAAATCAAGGTCCCAGGAGGAGGAGAGGAGAGGCACAGAATCCATGTTGCTTGAAGTCCAGTGTAATGTTTCCAAAAACTGTACATGTAGGATGAGAGTCCCGCCCTGAACACATGTACATGCTGACATTCACCCACAGTCATAGCACCACCTGCTGGCAACAGGAAGTGACTTTTAACGAAGCAGCCCCCGCCGCACGTTTCACCTATGTGCACGAATTTTCTGTGGTACGTGTATCTTGTCCAGACGCAAAAAAAAAGCCTCTTGGAGCGATGCCCTAAACCCAACAGGAAGTCGGCCATTTTGAATTTTACGTCAAATTTTGGATGATTTACACACTTCATACTTTAACGAACTCCTCCTAGGGATTTAGTCCAACCGGCTTCAAATTTCAGCATTGAAGATGAAAAGATTGATTGAAGATGAATCTGTGAGTTTTCGTCAATGGGCGTGTCCGTGGCGTCGATGATTCGCCATGACACAGGAAGTTGTTGTAACTTCAGTATACATGCTGACATCTGAACAAAATTTTACATGCTTGATAACTCTCCCACCCCGAAGACATCTACACGCCAATATCGATTTATATTCATAGCGGGAAGTGCTATGTAGCTCCACATGGGGGACACAGGAAGTGACATATAACACCTTCATTCAGCATCGGAACCGCGTAGCAAATGCACAGCCGCACCGGCAGAGCTCCAGAATATGCAACGCGGCCGGCTCCCACCCGGACACGCTACAAGTGCGAGGGCCCGCCCAACGCTGCTTGCAGCTTTAATTTTGTATTGGTTTTTCATTAGTTGTCAGTTTCATCACAATTAAATGAAATAAACATTTGAAATATATCAGTCTGTGTGTAATGAATGCATATAATATCCAAGTTTCACTTTTTGAATGGAATTACTGAAATAAATCAAATTTTTGATGATATTCTAATTATATGACCAGCAACTGTATACCTACAAAGTTTGGTGAATGTAGGTCAAAGAGAAAGGAGGGGGCTTTGGTTTTGAAAATTGCTAGGGGGCGCTATCGAGCCATTTTTGTGCGCCCATGCACTGGACCCATATCAGATCGCTATTTTCACCAGTTTGGATGTATGTGCCAATTTATACAACTTTTCATGCATGCTAACCAAGCAAGTATAATATTAATATATTTAATATAATAATTCTAACAATTACAATAGGGACCTCACAGCGGTCGCTGTCGTGTAGCATACAAGTGCAGGGAAAAATAAATGTGCAAATGTGGAAATAGAGGCATAAATAAATGTGGAAATACAGAAATAAATAAATAAATATAGAAATAAATGTAGAAATATAGAAATAAATGCATGTAAATAAATACAAAAACTCTTTTTTATGACAAAAATATATTTAATTTATTTCTGCATTTAATTATTTATTTCTTGTATTTATTATATGGTCCCTCATAGATTCCATTAAAAGCAACATTAAAGTTTCACAAAGACATAGCTTTGCTATTACCATGGACATAAAGTGATGTTTATTTGCACGTTATGTCTGTTTGATCCAGATAAATGCAGCTGTAGACCTAAAGAGACTTTGCTGCGCACATCAGTTTTCGGTGGACGATCACTTTACAGCACGACACCTGTATGCTCTGCTGTCCAGTCTTTCTGGCCACGTAAAATCTGATTTCAGGTCTGTTAACACCTTATACAGTCTATGATTAACACAGATAAAAACAGGGACATTTCCGGGGACAGCTCCAGAGGGGGACAGACCACCAAAACCTGAGGCTGTCCCCGGAAAACGGGGACGTCTGGTCACCCTATTTTAACTACTGCCCATGCTCTTCATTATACAGGAATGTGTAGCTAAATAAAAGCAAGTTACCATGAGTAAAGCGAAAACTGTGAAAACCAAGGTTTGACATTTTACTCTCCCCCCGGATAGTAGAATCCCACTCCAGTGTTAGGGTGCTCCAATCAATCGGTCACCGATCATAATCGGCCGATAATGGCTTTAACTAGTTTAATCGGTGGTCGCTAAAAAGGCAGATTAAGAAAATCAGATGATGCAATACTCGCCAGACAAATTTTCAACGGCAGCTAAAAAGCTAGCTAGCACCAAAGTCCTTCTCAGGCAAGAAGGGATTAATGCGCCCACATAATCATTTACAGTTAGAGTTGAGCAGCAATCAGACAAGTGGAGCAACACGCAGGAGCGATCATGTGAAACTGTCGCAGCTGTGCTCATCTCATACATACGCCACCCGCAACCAGAGTTTAATAGACACATCGTATCAGGCAGAGAGAGAGACTGATCCTTCAGTGTGAGTTTCCTGATGCAAAGAGCGGTGCCACTCAATCAGCTGGCTGCCTCTCTCTCTCTGTTTTTGTTACAAAAACGGAGACCTTTTGCTACGTTTCCGCCTCTAGTCCAGATTAAAACGGTGAATCATTAGATGTTTGTTTGAAAACGCTGCTGACCCGATGGACTTTATAAAACGATGACACACACTCACATTTGGCTTGGTGAGTCGGTCTTATCAGTTATACAAGCAAAAACACGATGCTACTTACAGAGTTTTAGTTTTGGAATTTTTATTAAAATATATGTACTGTGTAGGCCTAAATAACACTTTTTTAGACAATTAGCCTACTGTGCATGTTGCAACTCCCAGTCTGTTTTCCGCCGCCGTCTCTCGTACTCAGTAACAGTTCCACTGTTGTCGGTCAATGCAAAAAAAAAAGATAAAAGCCTGGTGTGGTTCTTGGTTTGTATTAATTTCTTCTTTCGCTAAATCGTCTGCTACTGTGGAGTAGACCATCTGCTTCATGTTTACACTGGCACGCGCATGCCCAGTGTAGGCTAACTGAACGGCCATTAGATGTGTTTTAAGTCATTCTAATATAGACAGAGATCAACTGATACGCAGCTAAAATACTGCTGTGGACAGAGAAGATAGTTTTCGTTATAAAACTGTTTTAAAAAACATAGCAGTGTGGATGTAACCTCACATTACCCCACTCCTCTCTCTACTCCTCTCATGTCAACCCTCCTGTTTTCCCCTAGATTCTCCCGTATTTTTCCGTTCTCACCCGGTATCCACCCCTTATATGTTTCCCCGTAATTTTAACCTTTATAAAATCAAATAAAAACCTTCTGGCTGTATTTAAAGTGTTTGCTACTCTCTCCTCTGGTAAAGTTGGTGGCAGCATGTAAAATATGTAGACTTTGCTTCCTGCACAAGGATATAAAATGAAAACAATCCACTGAAATGATATAAGCCCTATAGCCTACTAATGGTTAACCATATGAAATTATAATGAATATAGTAGCCTATGTAATAACAATTCATACGGAATTTACATTGTAGCCTATTTTTATTTATTTAAATTTTCCTTATTTTCAAATCTCATTGATGGCAGTTTTGACTCCTCTCTGTAGCCCTTCTCCCTCTCTCTGCTCCTCTCTCCACTCCTCTCTCTCCACCCTAAAGCCCACAGAACCTGCCTGAGCTTTCCAGAACAAAAAGCAGCTATTTCAGAGTTTAACATCGACTCATGATGCCTGTGTTCCTTTATCCTGTTATCCTGTTTGTTCTCTTTTTGTAGTTTATTCCACAGTAAAGATATATTTGTTAAGCTATGAGATGTTCACAGTAACCAGGCAAAGGCTGCTATGGTTTAAGTCTCTAACATAGATTGAGCGAAATTTGTTGCCCATGTTTCCTGGCAATAAAATCATCATGATATTTTATCTGGCAACAGGAAGTGACCTTTAACGAAGCAGCCCCCGCCGCACGTTTTACCTACATGTACAAAATTTCTGTGGCACATGTATCATGTCCAGATGTACCAAAAAGCCTCCTGGAGCGATGCCCTAAACCCAACAGGAAGTCAGCCGTTTTGAATTTTACGGATATTTTTGGATGATTTACACACTCCGTACTTTAACGAACTCCTCCTAGGGATTTAGTCGAACCGACTTCAAATTTCTGCTGTGCCTTCTAAAGGCATTCACGATGAAAAGTTGTGCTATCTGTGAGTTTTCGTCAATGGGCGTGTCCGTGGCGTGGCATCAAAGATCAACTCTTCGCCATGACACAGGAAGTTGTTGTAACTTCAATGTACATGCTCACATCTGAATAAAACTTTACGTGCTTGATAACTGTCCCACCCTGAACATATCTTCACGCCAATATTAATTTATATTCATAGCGCCAAGTGCTATGTAGTGCCACAAAGGGGACACAGGAAGTGAGGTTTAACACCTTCATGCAGCGTCCGAAGCACGTAGCAAATTCACAGCCTCACACCCTGACGTGCTACATGTGCGAGGGCCCGCCCAACGCTGCTTGCAGCTTTAATATGTTTTATTGTAATCAATGAGACAATCTTTGTTTTCCAAATTTAAATCTTTATTTTGCTGAATGCGTGAATGAGTCCAGTGACAGAATATTTGTTACACTTGTATTTGAATCTCAAAGTGACTGAAACAAAAAAGAAATTAATACAGTATGAATCATTTCTAAAATATTATACAAATGTAAAAAGAAAAATTAATTAATTACAGTTTACATCAAGTAAGACCATCAAAAATCCTCAAATGTTCCCATTTGGATCATTAATCTGTCCTGGAGTCATCATCATTTAGTCTAAAAGGAGAAAACATATGGAATATATTGGATCTGGTGACAGATTTGTTTTGTATCAACATAAAAACAGTTACATTCAAACTGCCTAAAATGTTAATATTGTCATGACAATATTAAACACAGCAGAGATATTAAAGTCATACAGTTGAAATATTGTACTGGAGGATTACTTACCTTAATCACAGTAGCCAAGACACCATAGATGACGGAGATGAGGAAAAAAAAGAGGAAAGTGAAAGCCATATACCAGCTTTCCACATCTGTGTCTTGGTTCACATCAGCATGCATAATCTCATCTAAGAAATGACAGCCCTCCAACGTGCCTGTGAAAGAAATGAGATTTGTCAGTTAACTATTGCATTAACTTTGTTAAAGTGGAATAGGAACTGCAAAGAAATATTAAGAAAATAACCCAAGTTACCAAACAGTCTCACAAATGTGTTTAAATGTGTGGTTAACCTAGTAAGTGCAGTCTTTAACATGCAAGAAAGATGTGGATGAACGGAGGAACCGGCACCTGGTTTAGATATATTCAGGGATTGGGTGGTGTTCTCATGTGTCACCCTGCAGGTGAGGACTGCCCCAGGGAACCAGTTGCCATGGGACAGACGAAGGTGGCTTTGGATGCTGAACTTTCCATTTGGGCCTCTGATGGGTTCACTAGTGTTGTAGTCCAACAGTTCCTTGGTGTCACCAGAAAACCAAGTGATGCTAATAGATGCAGGGCTGAAGCCGAAGACCAGGCACACAAGTTCACCAGAGCCCTGGAGCAAGGTGGCTGAAGGTTGGCTGTAGGTCACTGTGGCTGGGGAAAAGAGTTATTAAAGTTCGTCATGAATTTGTACTGAGGAAGGTCATGTAGCAAGAAAAATCAGGAAACATTTACAATTTTTTTATATCAAAGGTGATATGCCTATTTACTTCATAACCTTTGTGCTTTAAGCAACACAGAGACTTGAGAAGAATAACAGACTACAATGTAGAGATGTTCAGATGAAGTTTTTTTTACCCTGATCCTGATCAGAGTCCTTTAATACTGTGTATCTGAAGATATCAGGTCTGATTTCCTTTAATGTTAATTAAATATTTATCTGATACATTGAAATAACAACTGTAGCCTTCTAAATTGACACAGTTTCTTTTTTCAACTTTTTGCAATGAACACCAGTGAACCTCATTGTTACTAAGTGTTAATTCTCAGCTCACCAAAAACATCCTTTATAGTGCTTTCAAACGGCGTTTCAGAGGACTCATGTCTGACAACACAAGAATATGTAGACTCCTTGTCCTCAGTTTTGGATGTGTTTAGTCTGCTGCTCATTGAATAAGCGCTGCTCTCTGTGTATTTCCAGGCAGGACTGTTGGTGTAGCGAGCTGAAAGGAGTCTCTGGCCATTCTCCTCCCAGTACACCATGATGTTAGACGGGAAAAATCCAGAAACTAGACAAATAAGTGTGAGCACATCTGAGGTAGACAGCTCAGAGGCAGTTGGTTGTAATATTTTCACTGTTGGTGGGTACAGGTCTTGAGAAAAACAAAAAGTAAATAAGGGTTTATATTAAGGCTCTTTTCATGATTTAGTCACAACCAGCACAAGCATTACGGAGATTTTTCTTTTTACTGCTGAGCTTCTGATGTTTCACACTACCTCTGCTTTTGCTTATATGGTCCTGGTAGCCCTGGTTGGAACATCGGTGCTTCCCCTCACAAGACACTTGTTTATATGCATGCCAATCCTCCGCTGACACTTTGAGGAAGCTCCGCAAAGACTCCGTCCCATTGCTGTGACTCACTGGTGGCTCCGTATGGACATTAAGAGAATATTTGTTCCCACCTACTTTCCAGGTGATGGAGAAATCATCAAGAGAAGGGCCAACCAGAAGACAGGTGAGAGTCACCTGTCCCTTTCTCTGAAGATCCTGGAGGGGTGGTCCCTGAACATATACAGCAACTATCTGAGATGATGCTGGAGTTACTGAAAACATTGAAGGGGGAGAAAATGCAGCACCTATCAAATCATGATTATGAGATAAAAGCTTGGCAGATTCAAACATTAACACAATTACCGTTTCCTTTTTACCTGAACAGATGCTGATGTTCTTTTCAACTGTTTTACTCAGAGACTTGTCAGACACTAAACAAGTGAAGACCTTCCCTGTTTTCCACTCTGTCTGAGGGATGTGAAGTTGACTGGTTACTGCCACACGTCCATCTGCACTCATGCTGATGTCATTCGTTGATGGAGATGCTTGCTGAGACTCAGGAAACCATTTAATTTGAGGGTTGAAGCCCCATCCAGAGCACAAGATCCTCTGTGGTCCTGACTCTTTATTGGGGACCAGAAGGAGCTCCACTGATGGGTCCACTAAACATTATGTGAGCAAATGAATCGATCGATTACATTATCAGTTCATTGTTTAAAGAACAGAAAGAGAAACTCCTCTCACCAAAAATATTGCCAGTGGGGTTTGACTTGAAGCTGCTGGAGAAACCTTGATTCACTTTGCAGGTGAAACTTGTGTCTCTCTTCCAGTAGTTTGGAGGGACAGTGAAGCGTCTACTGACTGAATGGAGGCCTGGGGCTTCGGGAAGATCAACATACTGTTTGTCAGAGATGTCAACACTGTTGGCCTGAAAGGTGATGTAGAGGTCACTGGAGGAGAGTTGTGTGACGTCACACTCCAGCACAGAACTGTTTCCCTTCAGCAAATCTGGGAGAGATCTCCTGATCTCCACTGATGGAGCTGTAACTGCAGGCGCTGGATGATACAGAAAGAAACAAGGAAGAATTATTTTAGGTCCTTTGCTGTCACAGCACACCTAATTTTTATTTTGTCTTCTCCTCTGACCTGCAACATTTATTGTCTCCTCAGTGGATGAGAAGCAGCGATGTTCAACTTTACATTTCAGAAGCTTCAGTTGTTTCCACTGACTCGAGGAAACCGTCAGAGTGCTTATTAAATGAGTTGTATTTGTGACCTGGTTCACTTGGTTACTGGATGGGGGTTGCCCATCCATCAGCCAGGTCACGTTGGCATCAAACACTGTGCGGACTGAACACGTTGCCTTCACATCAGACGTTGACTCCATTACTGTCTTGAAGCTGGGAACCTCCACATGAACAGAAGGAGGGGCGCTTGTCTGTGCTGCAGAAAAAAACATGTTTGGCCATACATGTTAATCACAACATGCATTTTTGTATCAAAAATGTTCATATTGTGTGTTGAGACATTAGCCATATATACTTACTTTGACAAATACTTATTGTTTTATGAAATTCACTGTCGATATGAGTGGACCAGCATGTAAAATTTGAGCCACCTGTCCACTGTTTCATATTTGGCTCAATCTCACTGCTTAGACTGAAGGTTTTCTCCACTCCCTTCACACTCTGCAGCTTCCTTTGGGTTTGCACAATGTTTAGAGATTGGTTGTCCCGTTGCCACATCACACTCAGTTGGTCTGGAAAGAAGCCACTTAGGGTGCAGAGGAGTCTGACAGGTGAGGCCCCGATTTCACCTTCCCACACAGGATGTAATGTGATGTTTGGAGAGACAACCCGCAGTCCTGAGACGGAGAAGAGATTATTTTTACTTTACTTGCCTCATTCTAAATGTTGAACATTTGAGCTGATTTTATCTCTTCACCTATACATACCTTCAGATTTTGTAAACAATTCTAAGTGTAATGTCTCTGTATTTCGGCTAGATGGCAGAGTTGTACTTTTACAGTGTCTGGTGTTATAAAGTCAGGTGGAGATGGAGGCGATGGGGCTGGAAGTCTGTTGCACAGATGCCGCAGAATGACAGGGCAGAGTGATCACAGCTAGCAGCAAGCGGAAGCATTGAGTAACACCCAGATCCCAAAAAAGTACCAAAATGCAGAAGTGAAACAGAGCCAAGAGCAACGGTGCATTGCAGACACCAGGTGTGAGGTGCGCTTATGCCAGTAAGAGAAACAGAGTGCACATTTAAATATCTCAGATCAGTTTACATGTGTTATCACAACGATTTTACATGGCTTCTCATGACTTTGCTAAAGGTTTTAGTTCTGAGTCTATTAATAATAGACTCAGAACTAACCGATTGTGAAATCTCCACATTTACATATTGAGTAGAACACGGGCTGTTGATTCCAGGTGCTGGGGAGGTGATGAACACAACAACATATTACATAGTTAAAATAAAAATAAGAAATGCTATTCTTATGAGTATTATGTATTAAACATTTACAGGTGAAACTATAGACAGTATGAACAGTTTCAGAATAACAGATGAGAGAACAAAGATGGAGGAGCAACATTAATGGTTATGTTCATTTAAACATTTATTTTTAAAATTACATAAAGCTCTTGAAATAAGAATGGAAAAAATGACAGCTGTGATTACTTACATCAAACTATGAGTTTATAAGAAAAGTGTGTGAAAAACAGTTTTGTACAGAAAGTTTTCCTTGTTTCATTTAACCTGAAAAAACAGAAGAAAACAAATACAGATTAGATGTTGCTCCAACATTACATTTATTCATTTAGCTGACGCTTTTATCCAAAGCGACTTACAATTGCTATACATGTCAGAGGTCACACGCCTCTGAAGCAACTAGGGGTTAAGTGTCTTGCTAAGGGACACAATGGCGGATGACAGTGGGAATCGAACCCAGGTCTCCCACACCAAAGGCAAGCATCTTATCTATGCGCCATCACCAAAAGAGTTTAATGTTTAAAAGCATTGAATTGCACAACGGTTGTTGTTTTTGTGTCCAACCCCCCGGACACCCATACATCACTGATGGTTGATCTTTTGCTGCAATCACTTTTAGAATTTAATCTTTAGATGGAGATAGTGGCGCTGTGGGATCATTTTAGTTGTTGGTCATCAGCAGACAACAAGATGTAATTTTCTGAGGTAGTTATGATGTGATTACATTATGATGGTTATTATCATGTGTCACAGCTATGCCCTGTATGAATCTATTGTTACTCCACTCCTCATGTTAGATTTTTGTCAACCCATCTGTGTTGTTTGAATACATAAAACTGTTTACTCAGTTGTGTTTTTCTGGTTAATATGTGCTCCACTCTGACATATAAACTCAGTATTACCTTGAAAGCAGTGGTTGCAATGGTGAACATCAGAGTGATGATGAAGAGAAGGATGAAGGTGAGGGCTATTCTCCCCATGTCATCTTCTGCCTCGATGGTACTGTTCCACTGGTAGTCCATTTTAATCATGAACTCCGGATGTCCTGGACTTGGGAAAATCCACTCCTGGCTAACTGTGATGAGACCAAATTATATTAATGACCAAATTCTTTGATTTCCTATAGCAGGTTAATATATTTTAAAACCTCACAGGTCTGTGGATTTAATCAGTAAATCAATCAGTTAGTCAGTCAATCCATGTATGAAATAGATAACCATAAATTTAAAAAAGGCATTATGTCTTAGTGACATGTCTTGTTACTTATAACATTGTTACCACAAGGCACTAACAGTTTTGCAAGTGCTGATTAAAGTGGTCCTAGATTGATCCTGACTTGCTTTTGAAAGGCCCCATTATTGGTGTGGCATGCCTGACTTGGCGTGTGAATCAGTTTTTTCATCATTTGACTGAGAGACTGCAGAGCTGGAGTTCAACCTTAAACAATCATCTGTCTTGTATTGAGGGTGCAAGACCCAGTAGAGGACAACACATACACAAAGACACACAAACAGTGTTAATGCACTACAAATAAAAATGAACACATTTTATTTTTGCCTCAGTTTAGTGGAGTGGTGGCAGCGTTATTCTAGTGAATACAATATGATGCTGAAGGTTTGATATATTATTAATGTCACTGTGCTGGATCTAACCTGTGCTGCATTAGATGTGACATTACACTTACAATAAACATGTAGCTCAAAACATTGCTCCAATAAAGACATGAAATGCGACATACATCAACAGAGTTGCAAAGGGCATTTTTTTATTTTTTATTTTGCATTAAGAAGACAAACAAAATGTCATATCACAAGCAACAAACATTAAACAACAAACAACAGAAGACACAACGACACAAAACAACATCTACTGGGCCTTGCACGTTTCAGGGATGTTCATGTTGAGGTTGACCAGGTTGGTTTTTTCAAATGTTCTCTGCCCGATGGACCTGACAATAGCTTTAGTTGTGTTAACCAGAGACTCGTGGTAAACTACACAGCTATACACCACGTCATTCTTTTTCCACTGCTCAAGGCTGAGTGATAACTGGCCATAAGCAGAATAAGATCCATTGTTTTCTACAGGGTTTGTGGTATAGAACTTGTACTTTGAGTCTGCTTCCTCGTCATCAACAAGCCAAGACACCAAAACCTCTTGAGGATAGAAGTCTTTCACATAGCAAGTCAGGGTCACCATTTCTTTTCTAGTATGTTCTACTGGAGGCAGCATGAACACTGAAGGACGCTGAGTCTGTCCTCCTGCAAGCACGAGAGAACAATTAGGCCTCCTGCCACAGATAAAAGAACCTGCAGTACTGAAGGAAACCTCTGCTACAAAACACACAGTACCAATACACAAAACAACACACTTAGAAATAACACTCTTAACCTGTTTGATGTAGTGCAAAATTGCTGAATAGCTTTCTTACCATTTCTCCTTTGATAGAGTTGCTTTACTTGGTCAATCACCTCTGTGTGTTCAACAATGCAAACGCGTTTCACCCCCTTGCTCCATTCATCATAAGAGATTTCAAGTGGCAGGGTGAATGGGCCTTTACTTCCTTTAGGGGGGGTCATTGAGGCATCAGCCATTTCCTTTCCGTTGTGGTCCTCCCAGAATATCTTTTCGACAGATGGCTTATTTATTGTGACATGACATTCTATAGTTCCTTTTCTATTTGAAAAGATGTCTTCCAATTTGGGGCCAGTGATCTTTATATCCACTTGACCTTCGCATTGTTCAGGTGCTGAGTGAGAAATTAATGAACAATTATTAAGCAGAAAGGGCTGCAAACGTATGGGAATTAGAATTAGATTTGTATTTAATTTTGAAAGAAAATTTTGAAATATACTCACAAATTTTGTGGGTCAGGGATGAATTCACATTTGTTTTGTCACCTTTTTCACCTCTCCCCTCAAAAACACATGTGAACTTGTTGTCAGTGTTGTCATCCCACTCACTGAACGGTACAGCAAGAAAGCTTGCTGCACTGTACACCTTAGTTCCATTCTCTGTAACCCTTTCCTTAGGAGGTGTTTTGATCTCATATATTTTGTTGGGAATTTCCTGTTCATTTTTCAGCCATTTGAACCCATAATCATTTGGTGAAAAATCTTTGGCCAAGCAGGAGAAGGAAACCTCGTTTTCATCATCAGAGGCGGCCAATACTCTAAGAGTTGGCAAAATCACGACTGAAAAACAAAGATATACCCAAATATATGTATGCAGATGCAGGGAATAATATATATATGCAGAAGAAAGGTGACCAATGTGCTCCAATGTTCATGTAAAATAGATTTACTATAAACTTAACTGACTTTTCTGTTCTACTGTATGTTATGCAACTTGCACACACATATGCACACATGATTACGCTCTTTAAATTAACACTTACTGTTTGTTACTAAAGTGTGCATAAAGAGTCAAAAGGAAAATAAAAATGTCAAAGTAAAACAAGTGAACAGCAGAGGTTTTATCACTTCTGCATATACATTGACTGGTCGGGCAAGCAAACACAGGCTTAACGTGAATGTTAATGATCAACACACAGTTTCCATCTATCTGCATAATTATGCAGACAGAGGGAAAGAAGCAGAACACATTGCAATAATCTGTTCTTGGACAGGTGCAGAGGACATACAGCATAATAGTAAAGAACAAATCAGACTCAGAGTCAGCAGCTGAATACACACAACAAAGCTTTAGCCTTTTCGTTCCACCTCACTGTCTGGTTTGACAGCTGGACCTACTAATTAAACATATTTAAGGATGTAAATGTTAAATTGGTTGTATTTTATTTTTATGCTGTCCGCTGTGTTTATGTTACTTAATCACAGATTGGAGTATTTTGTTTCTAAAATGTTGAAACAAATTACCGCTCTCACGTTAACTTTACATGTGTCAACTTCAGCAGCTTGGGATAAATGTACAAAGATGTTATAACGTCTGCCTCTAATAAACATTTCACAGGAAAACCCTAAAACCAAGTAACAGAGATTCACTTTTTGTGTAAACCATAGCACAAATTTATTATCAGTGCATGTATTGCACTACATAAATATACTTATTATTATTAGATGTTAAATCAACAACTAAAAATTTTATTTGACTTAGCATGAGTCTTACGTGGTCGTGTAACATCAGCCTCTGCATTTCCTGCTGGATGTGTCACGGCACATTTGAAAGTCTGCCTTTCGTCCCAGTCCTGTCTCCTCACTCGGATTTGACTGACTCCCGTATAAACGTTCCCTTTCTGTACTGGAGGGTACTGAATGAAGTCCGTCAAGGCAGCCCCATTTTTGCTCCATGTGTAGGTCAGTGAGGAGGGTGTGAAGCCGGTGGCAAGGCAGCCGAGAGTGACCAAGTCTCCAGTCCCAGAACCACATTGCATCAGGGGAAACACAGTTGGTGCAGTTGGACAGGCTAACAGAGACAAAATAAACATGCAAGAAACAAAATAAAATTTTTCATCAAGTCAGGTAAGTTGATCAACAGTGTAACAAAGCACAGCATGGAAGGCGTTATCTTTTAATCTGCTGAATGTGTAAATCAAATCAATCAGGCTTTGAACCTTACTGACCCTCCCTCTAAAAGTTATTTATCAGTGTTACAACAAAACCAAAGCCGTATAAGTTATGTTATACTGTTAACATGTTTAATCGGTTATTAAATACATCCTGGATATAAAGAAAAATAAACTAAAATGTAATCACGGTTAAAATTATAAAATATATATATATATATATATATATATATATATATATATATATAATTATAAAAAGGTAATAGTTAAAAAACAATTTACTTTTAAAACAAAATATACTAACTAGTGTTCAATCAAATGCCCTCCATACACAGAAGTTTATGTTTCTCTGTCTCACTTATTTAGATGTCATTAGTTGCACTAAGGTTAACCTCCCTCAATAATATAATTTGTGGTGACTTTATGTTATTTTATATATAAATACTTCAATTACTTTAAACTGCAACTTTGACAATAATGATTAGACATTTTCTAAATTCAAACAATGAATGTTAAAGTCAGTAAACTTCCAGTAACTGAGTCTCTTACTTTTGTTGAATTTTACGAATTATGTGTGAGGTTAAAGAGTATTCTTACCTGATGAAACAGTTACTGTTGTACCCTTTCCCCAGTAGTCAAAAGCATCATAGTAGCACAGTGCTGAATCTACGTAGCTGTTAGTATTAAAAGGCTACGTCTAGTAATGTTGAGTGCAATGATGAGTTTG